AGTATGATCATTTTTTTTTCACTTTTGATTAGGAGGATCATTGTAATTTAGAGTCTAAATGTCCAAATACCTCTTAAAACAAATAGGAAAACAATGTAATAGCAAAAATTCACAAAGCAAGTATTGTAAATATTTGGAAGTTCATAGTAGTAATTTTTTTCCCCGTCTCGTGTTTCCTTTTCTTCAATGATGGTGTGCCCCTATATTGAAAGCGATGAGCACATAAATTATAGGAACCCCATTCCCATTAATTGATCGTGCTTGGTTGGGACCATCCAGTTCACTATACTTGGTGGTTGGAGAATTAAGCCAATCCTTGATTGATCCATGTCCCTTTTTTTTTTTTTTAATTCAGAAAGATATCATTTGTTTGCGTAACTCTTGCTTAAAGTAAGTGTTAATTGATCAATCCAAGTAAAACTATTGTATTGGAATTTGGAAAGACATATAAACAAGGAAAAAGATTGTATGAAACACTTAATTTCCATTCAAATTATGAAATTAACCACATTACTGCAAAAGCCATTCATTTATTATCAGAATCATTAATAAATTTATTAAAATAAATATTTATCATTTAATTATCATATATAATGAATAATAAATAATATTTTTAATAGTGTAATTATCTGTCATAATTTAAATGAAAAAAGTATATACTGATCTAAATAAAAATCTCATATAATTTTTTACAAAAAAAAGAAACATAAAATATAAATTAAAAAATTAAATCGAGAAAAAAGACTACGAACATGGGAGAAAGGGATAGAAGAACGATGTGATTGCATAATGAGAAAGAATTATATGAAATAGTTAAGTCATGTCAATATATACTTTTTTTATTTAAATCATGTGATATAATCACATTATTTAAAAAAATTAATTATTTATTATTAAATAATTTATTAATTTATTAAAATTATTATTTATGATTTAATTATCAGATACGATGTATAACAAATGATTGACTTTTTTTCAATGACACTATAAGAAAAATAACTTTTACTGATGAAATTTTCTATCGATAATAGACAAATTGGCAATGCTATTCCATCGAAAATAATTAAATAAGTCGGTAATTACCGATGAAATTTTTTGTTGGTAAATTTCATCAGTAATTACCAACAAAATTATTACCATCAGTACATTCTATTGGTAAATTCGTCAGTAATTCGTAGTTAATACTTATATTTCAATTATATTTAATATATTTTATTTATAATTTTTGTCATTTTATTTTAGTTTTGTAATTTAGTTTTAAAGTAATTACATGAATACTAAATATACAAAAATGAAAAATAAATAAACAAAATGCTCCATTTTATTTATAAAAAAATGTATAATATTTTACAAAATTGTTTATGAATTTTATTAAATAAAAATACAAAAAAAAACATATATGTTACAAATTCCGTACAAACATTTTGGTAATACATGCAAGTCAAATAAACAAGTACTTCTAATATATAATAATAAAAATACCTACAAAACATGTGAATGTTAACAGCCTTTCCTTCCTTACCTTAACCTTCTTATAGAAATAACACAAATACAAATGTAAAAGTTTAGAGTTTACTTGAATTATTGCTCAAACAATTTAGGAAAAAAACATTGTCTATAACAAGTTATATTAACACAACCTTGTGGAATATTTATGCAAACATATATCTGCCCATATGTATATATATCTTGTCTTATGTCTCATATGAGTTCTACATCCAAATACAAAAAACCAAAAGCCTTGCGTATAAACATGAAAAACAATATTTGACAAGGGAAATAATATATATCACAATTCGTAACCAACAAGTTGTTAAGCATTTATATATAGAAAAGAAGAAAATGATTAATAAAATGAAAAAAAAAAAGCAAAAAAGCTCAAAAATTAAAATTTCAACCTTCTTAATCTATCATATTTAACATTGAGTATTGTAATTTTCATTATAAATTCCACCAAAAACCTACCAAGGTTGATGAACACTTAATGGATGAAACATTGTACTCAATTCTTCATGCAAGTATACACACAAGAACTCACTTATTGTATAGGTTTAATAGGGCATTGTTAACACACGTAAAATTTTTGCCTAGTAGGTAAAAATTTTTATAAGTTCTCATAGGAATTATGCAAATTAAGCAATTATAAAGAAACTTGAGCAAATAAATAAGGAAAAATATGTCAACTTTAAGTCTAAAAATTTATCTTTTCAGGTTGGGTTTTAAGGCTCGACAATGAGCTAGGGTATAATTTTTCTTTGACACAACATGGAAGGGTAGGTAGGGTAGGTGTCATCAGAAAAAAACTTGTAAATGGTGGCATTAAAGAGCCAAATGGGGTGGATTGAAGTTCATTGTGTAAATCATTGATCCTTTGCAAAAGCTTCTTTAAGTAATTAATGGCGTCCTTAAGAATTGAAGCCCTATACATCTTAGACATAATAAGCACGATGAATAGCTAGTTACCAAATGTTGTAACTTCAATGATTTAGATTTTAGAGTATTAAAAACTATAATATTGATGGAGCGCTCTTTGAACAAAGTATTAGAGAAGACCACCAAAATGGGTAAAACAAGTTATTTCAAGAAGATTTCTAGCTTTTGTAAAGAGACAATTGCAATAGTAGTCAGACAAAATGTTTTTTTTTTTCTTTGTTCTCAGAATTATAAGATTGCATTCTCTTAGATATTCCAAAATGTATCTTTTTTTTCTAGGAAAATAAGTTTTGGAATATTTGGGAGAATGCAATTTTGTTTTTAGATTGAAAGTACACAAGTAATGTATTCTTGTCTCTTAAAAGAATTATAAAATATTTTCATTAAAAGCAAAACAAATAAGTTCACAACTAAATTGATTTTCTGATCCACTTTCTATACCTTAGAATGACATAGAACTAATGAAATGATCCATGTATAATTTCATAACTTTATTAAGTTCTAGTTAGAGATGGTGCCTACTAATTTGATAGTTTCATGTTCCTCGTAGAGTAAGATTTTACTTATTTGATAAATGATTTAACTAGAAATGAGCAAGTGGAAACTTAAGTTTGTGTTTATATCATCATAGCTATTGAAAATGGTGGAGATAATTTTAAAGCCTTTATTATTAGTTTCTTTTTGTAGTAAATTTTCCCCCATTATTTTCTATAATTAGAATTGATGTTTAAGGAAAAAGTCTTAGCTTAAGTCATTCCATTTTAGACCTAATTCTCATAAATAGAAAAAGCTAGATGTAGTTACACTTGTTTAGTTTAGACTTCATTTAGTTATTACTTTTATAATTTACTTTTTACTTTTTTAATAGAAAAGTGAAAAGAAAAACTAAAATAAATAATGAATAACAAAAGATAAAAATAAAAATAAAAACACCAATCAAAGGAATCTTAATTATCCCATTGGTCTCCCTCAAATAGACTAACCAACTAGACAATCATGGTCCATACCCAAATTTTATTAGTGATTAACAAGGCTAAGTCTTAAGCCCTAGCATATGGAAGTAACAATGAGAATGACAGAACATGTTGGGCTCATACAGGTTTCTTAAGCAAGTGTATTACAAAAATACATGTATTGTATAGTCAAATGTTGGTGGTAATATGATATATTTCATTAATAAAAAAAAAAAAGCATAGACCCATATTATTTGGATGTTACTGATTTGGAATTTTGCATTTTGCATTTTATTTTTCTATTAATATTCTTAGTTCAATTTAACAGAATATCCAAAACAATATGAAAACCCATACAAAGTACCTAACAATCAAGAAGAAAAGAAGTTTCGTGCATTTGACAAGTTCTTAAGAGCCCCTCTTCCTTGTTATAGATAAATTTATATCTAGATATGATGGCATTTCATTATAAGAATTGCTTGTCCAAAATATATAGAAACTAAACCCTAAATACCCTAAAATAAAAAAAAATCAAGTACATCAACTCATAATACTATTGAATATTATAAAATTTACGAACATTTTATCAATACAATAATACCATAATATTTCAATAATTATTATTAAATTTTAAAAATATTAAATATAGAATTTTTTTCAAAACAAATAAAAATCTTAATACACATTAAATCCAAATTTAACATAACATCAACATGAAATTTTTAATTTTTATAATTATTATAAAAATTAAAAAATATATTGAATTTAAAAAATTTTCAAAACAAACATAAATCTTAATACACATAAAACCCAAAGCATAAAATCAATATAAATCTTACACATATAAAAGTTAATAAATTTATATATAAAAAAACCAATAAATCTTAATAATACTCAACAAATAAAATAAAAAATCCAACAAAATTAATAAAATGTTTAACTTAACAAAAACTCAATAAATATATAACAAAAAACTCAACAAATCTGAACAAATCTATAATAAAAAGTTTAACAATAAACTTAACAAATAAACAGCAAAATTCTTGAAATATAAAGAAGTAAACTACTAAAGATGGAGGGATATGACTTGTCGGCCGATGAATTTAAAAGGACGACCAACAGTGAAAAAAAAAGGAGGGGAAGAGGGGGATTTAGGGATTTGAGGATTTAAATTTTGAGAAAAAAATTAGTGTTCCTTGGATTTGGGAAGGGGGGTTAAAATTTTATGTGATTTTCCAATGGATTATTGATGAAAATTCCATTGGTAATTGGCAACTATTAAAATTGTTTTACCTACAAAAAATTTCATCGATTTTGACAATAAATTACGTTATTTTTTTACTTACAGATTACTGATAGAATTAAATTTATCAGTATTTCATCAGTGATAATCAATTTTTTTTTACAAGTACATTCTATCAATAATTTATTGATAATTATCAACATAATTTTTTTATCAGTAAAATTCCATCGATGATGTCAATATTTTTTGTAGTTTGACATAATTATGTGACATAATTTAAACAAAAAATATAATAACATAATACAACTGTTTCATACAATCTACTTTAGAAGATAATAACTATCATAAGCATATAGTTAGGAAATCCAGGGTTCGTTAATCTCAAACGGAAATTAGAAATAAAAAATAAAGGGAGAAAATGGGAAATTAGGGAGAAAAATCTTCAACTTTAAGCTTTCAAGTAGCCAGCAAGAATTGCTCCCAATGAAGCAAACCTTTGTGCCCACGCCCTTTTTCTTTGCAGCTGCTTGGCCTAGGAAACTTCCCTTTTCCAATTTCACCCCCAGCATTGGCACTATTTCCTTCCATATCCTCAGCTCCCCAATGACACTCCTCTTCTTCCACTTCTCCTTCTATTCCATTTTCTTCATAATCTACTTTGCCATTTTCATCTTCTCCTACTGCCTCTTCTTGGTCTTCCTCTTCGCCATCTTTGTCGGAATCCTTCAAAAGGGAAAGCCTGAGCCTGCCATCACTTCGTTCTACATGGAAGAAACTATGACAAGGACGGATAGTTACGGCTTGAAGAACTAGGCGGCCGCCTTCTCGTTGAGACCTAACTTGAACACCATTGGAACCGCTAATGGATGTCAAAGGAGGTGGAAAGTTGCTGCCACGACTCATTTTTCTTGTCACCAAATTTTCCCTTGGTTTCGATGGATTGCAAGCCTCAGTTTCTAATGAAAGCAAGAAAATGTCATCGCTGCTGTCGCTAACTTCACTTCCGGTTTCACTACCCAAGCTTTCGGTGCACATTTTAAGACTTTTTTCACTTAGCGCTGAAGCTGAAGGCTTAACGAGAGGATGCACGTAAACTTTGTCATGCTCGGTAGAATCTTCTGCGTTGGAGAGGGACTGGAGGAAACTCCAGCCGCCCATGTCAAAATTTTGATTGCCAATTGTTTTGCAATCATTTATGTTGCTCTTATTGTTGGTGATGGCGGTGTTTTTTTCTTCATTATAGGGCATAGGTTTGGGCTCGGTAGGGGCAGGGTTAGTGAAACAGGGCTTAGGAGGAGCAATGGAGCCAGGAAAATTCATTTTTGGTGGAGCTAGTTTCAGCCTCAAAAAACGTGATTCGAGCCTTTGCTCCGGGCATGATTGCAACCCTTGATAGACACTTGAGGACATTTTCTTATCCACAACAAAATGTTGGGGAAAAGAGAGGTAACAGGGGAGCCTAAACCTTTTCCCCTCACCTCCTTTTTGGAGTTTTCTGAGATCGAATGGGGAGGTGGGGGATGTAGATGAAAGAGAAACCTTTTAAAAGAAAACCCCCAAATATTTTCTTTTAGTTGTAAATGAAGATGGGGTGGTTTTGGGAATGGAGAGAAAAAGGCAAGGAACAAAGCAGTGAACATGGAAGAAAAGTAAGGGATGGGGGGATGATTTATAGTAAGGAGAACTGAGACACAGAAGCAAGGCCATAGCCTTTTACTCCCACTAAAAAATTTTGCAAACTTACTCCACCACACATTCGATAGCCAAAAAAAAAAAAAAAAGATAAAGTATATTGAATTGGAGTATACTTTTATTGAAACATGGTAAAGACAACTTTGCTGTTAGAAATTATTATAAATTTAACTTTGTTTTTAGGATTAAAAACACAACAAAGTTAACAGTTGCAGCCCAAAGCCTAACTCCTACTTATGTCTATGTTGATGATTTTATTTTAAACCAAAAACTAGTTATTATGGATTATGTTTTTTTTTTTCTCTTTCTTGTGCTACTAAAAGAAATCCAAACATCGCAAAGCAGACAGAAAACGATTTTGATTCTTCTTTTTACAGTTTTACCCATTGCTTGAGTTTGTGTTAGCTTTGCCTAATTTTTCTTTTCATTCATATCGTGCACTCTCAGTTCTAGTTAAAGAAACCAAACATAGTTTTCATTCAAGTGAAAGAACACCAAAACCTGCAATTCTTTGCTCTTAAATAACAAACAGTTGTATTAACAGTTACATTTTTTTCCTTATTTTTTGCTTCTCCCTCTCCTTTCAGGTTGATTTTAGGATTTGGAAACAAAATCATTTACTTTGGAAGGTTTAAGTTACATTATTTGAAGTTATTTTCATTTCACGTGTTGAAAATAAAACCAGAAAAACAAAATATTATAATGTCCTACTTTTCCCAAGTTCCAACTCAAACAAATCATTATATATTTATGTTTGAAGGATCAAGTTAGTATAGGTTGAGTGATGTTTGCAAAATTCTGTTTTAATTGAATTGGATGCTAGTAAAAGATCTTAACTTTGATTAATGTTTAAAACAACCGGCCAAATGAGAAAAACTCATTGGCAGATGATACTAAATTTTAAGATAAAAAACTACGTTTAATATATTCTAAGGCAAGAGGTCACACAACTTTTCTTTCGGTAATCATAAACGCTTACAAATCACGCCTTAAATCTATAGAGCAAAGGAAAGCAACATCACTTTGCTTTTTCAACTCTGATCTATATAATGGACAAATATTATATTAATTTGGTTAAGTGAAATGTCAAAAAAAAAAAAAGTATCGTTTGGTTTGTTTGCTTTAAAATATTAGTAAAACTGTCTACTACAAATTATTTCAGAACCCTTGTGATATAGGCAAAAAAATCTTTCCCACCAACTGCTATGTTGCCTTGGTTGTTGAGAAGTACTTTCTTTATATGCTCTATTTGTCAGCTTAACCCCACATTGTAGTTAAGAGTCAAGGGGGATATATGGCAAATAAAGTGCATAAAGGGGATAATAATGGATGGGTGGATGTCTCAATTCAGGTATCTGGCAAGGAATGCATTTTAATTTAGATCTTTTCTTTGTTGAGGATCAAAGGATGGAGATCCGAAAACAACTTTTATAATCGCTTTTTTTTCCATTAAGATGTAAAGTTTTGAATCACAATTATTGGTGAACACCGTGATAGCAAAGTAGGGTATTAATTATTGGCATCCAAAAGTCATTACAAAATTTGCAAAAATTCTGAAATTAATGGAGTGCCACTTGGGACTTGAGGTCCGATTTTATAATAAACAACTCTCTTGCTATTGTTGGCAGTGTCACCAATGCAAGATTTGTGGAGGATGTGTGTGGCAAACTCCTATAGCCACAGGTCATATGGCCTTAAACGTATGCCTGGTATCATGATGGAGAATTCGAGTTTGGTGGAGAGAGGGAGCAGATTTGCTCAATCACGGTAGCATTGGAAAAATGAATGTTTGCCCCCAACATATCCTCCATTGAAAGATAGCAAATACCTATTTGGAAGAACTGATGAAGAGACGTTTTTCTAATAATAGGGGTGCAACCATCCTTCTTTTCTATGTGAAATTATTGTAGCCATTAACAATTAAGCCATAAAATTTCTCTTTTTATGTATAAGGAATAATATATCCTAAATGAATTTATTCACATTAGATGTATTAGTTGCAAACAAATGTCCAGTTCTTATGTTGCTTTGTAGGCCTTTTTCTAAACTTGTTGGGGGTTTGTTACTTCTAGTAATGATTCCTAAAAATGAAATATATGGTGCTGCTACTGTAGAATTTATATATCGAGCCCATTTTTTAATATGTAAACTAACTTGTGTTTTCTTACAGTATTAGAATGGGGGCTGTGTATTTTCTGAGGATTGGAAAAAATGAAGGATACAAATCTAACAGCAGCAACTGAAACAGCAGTGAATTTTTCTTCAAGCCTTTACTTCAATAATGAAACTTCGTACTAGTAAATAGACCTCATACTAGATAAATCTTAGTAGATTTTGATGGCGTTTGCTTGTTACAGAACATATTAATTAACAAAATTATTGCTTATTGCTTCATTTGGTTTACGTGTGACCTAATGCTGCTGCTCTTCATCAAAGTACTCATCAAGAGACGTGGGTAAGCCAAAGATATCCCTTCAAGGTCTATCATCAGCATCATCACAATCTCCATTGATTTCCTCTTCTTCTTTCTTCTTCTTCTTCTGCTATGGGAGGTGAAAAATCCAAGCACATTCCTCTAATCACTTCCTCATACGATGCAGATAGATCTTGGGAGGTCATTTGATGGTACTCTACCAGCTGGTGAAGGCACTGGTTTTCCCTAACCAGATTTGCATTTTCATTTGCCAGTCTGGATTTCTCTGCGAGCAGTACTTCCAATTGAAGCCTCACCTGCCACCAAAGCACCATTACTTTAAATTTGGATCACAACTTTTCAGTGTGCTAAGCGAATAAAGAAACTTACAAGATCATCTTCCTCAGGTCGGATCCCCTTACTGAATCCATCTCGAAGCCTTTTGTTCTCTTCCTCAAGCAAACCACAACGCTCTTGTATAAAACACAAATCCGATTTTATGGAATTCAACTCTCTGGCAAGTGAAGCTGCTTTGGTAGCCATTGAAATTGCTAGCTGCAAAATTGAAGGAAAGAGAACCTGAGAACTAAGCTTACTACATGGTTGCTGATAAAGTAAAACAAAAGGAAAAAAACCAACATTTTTGGCTTTCTTCATCATCTTCTTATTTTGGGAACTTTGGCCATTCTCCTTTTCTGAATCATCTCCTTTCTTCTCATCTGAGCATTCACTGGAATCAAATTTCCTCTTCATACCTATCTTACTGTCTTGTTCGATTCCTTTTTGTTTTGGAACTACCTCTTTGGACTCCGAATTCTTCAGGTTACTATGAAATATATCGGTCAATGTGGGAGGTTTAGACAGCTCTCTAGCTCCCTTAAAAGCAGAGCAAACAGAAAACAGTAACTTCAGCATGTTTCTAAATTTCTTATAGACCTACAAAACTAAAGCTAATCTCCTAATTTGTAATAGAATTGTTTAAGATTACCTGAAGAGCATTATCTAGATTGTTTGATAGCTGAGAGAGAGTTTGTGAGATGGAATCAAATCCTCTAAGCAAAAGCAATGAATCCTCCTTCAATCGCTTAGCTCTATCGGATTCTCCAGAATTCTGCCCATAAAATTAGAATGAAAACTTATCAATTCAACATCATCCCCTAAAACAAACTTTCATAGCATGGCAATTAGCTTCAAAGAAAAGCTGAAGAACAAAGAAAACTTACAATCTGTGTAGGCAAAGACGGATCAACATTTTGGACAATGGAGATCTTGGCATTCCGATCATCGATGAGTGCATCGACCCGGCTACGCAAGGTGCTCCAAAAACGCTTGTCTGAAGCAGGGCTGAAGAGAGGAGATGAAGAAGCCATCAGACTTGTGGGCTCCTGTTAATGTATCCAAACCAGAGAAAAAAGATAATTAGAAATTAAAAATAAAAAAAGAACACCCCATTAAAGCTGAGAAGAAGCGGAAAAGGGTAGAAAAGCAGAAAGAACCTTGGTGAGATGAGTTGGTGATGAAGTATCAATGGAAGCTGCCATGGGAGAAAAGCAACAGGAGAGAGAAAGAAGCAGAGCAGAGTGGCGAGGGTAACGGCTAGTTTATGAGGGAAGCTCTTTGATACTGGGAATTTAAAAAAGGTGCGCCGGTCGGGGCCAACGTTCTAAAATCTAATCCACCTGAAAAGTGAAGTTGGTCCACTCCTTTTATTAGATCATTAAAAAAAAGTATGGTTTTTCAACGCGCCTGGTAGGGACCTGGATAGAATCTAACGGCTCTGGTTTCTTGATGGACTTGGAGGATCGTGGTTTAAACTGGACGATTTAAGCTTGGGTGTGGGCTGATTGGATCAGGATTTATTTGTTTATCATCCACAAAATTCAAAATGGTTTTTTGGATTAGGTTTTTGTTTGTTTGCATACATGGCAGTGGATCCTGCTTTGAATTTGGACGTTGTTGCCTTGACCATCCTCTTTCTTAATTGCTTTGCTAGTTTGCCACCCTGGAATCCAGACTTTTCAAAACATTAGGGCTCAAGTCGAAAGTTTGCCTTCGATGTCCTATTTATGCAAAAATAAAAAACAAAGGAAAAAATTTTTTAATTAAAAAAAGTAAAAATAGTTAAAGTTCAAGAAAACTTAAACGCCTAATGTTCTATTCAGCTGAGTTTTTTTTTTTGTTTTTTTCCACTTTATTCAGCTAAGTAAATAAGGATTATGAGTTAACGGTAGATTAGAATTTAAAATAAATAAATAGAGTTTAGTTTCATTATTCTTCCACCCTATGATTTAATTCTCGTTAAATCACATGAATTAATTTTTCATCTTCATATTGGGTCGAATGCAAGATACCAGTGAAAATCTCTAAAAATTAAAAAGAAAAAATTTCACAACACCTCAAAAAATAGTTTTTTGCCACATTTTCTATCCACAAAATTAATAATTTCATTGAACAAATTTTTTTAATATATTATAAATAGTCACTTTCAAGAAAAAATCTTGAATATGATGGAATGGCACCACAAACCTCCCAGAGAACTTGAAGGAGCGACGCGAGGAGCATGTAAAAATGGGGCAAAACAAGAAACGTATGCAGCTCGAGATAGATGATAAGATACTAGAGTCCCTTAAAGTTCCGGTAGTTGTTTGATCAACCAAAATCAAGTGGCATTTTAAACTCAAACCACTCTGTACATGACTGTCTGAGATGTATTTTTTTTCCTTGTTTGTTTTTCCTTCGTTCGCATATGTCATCTCTATGTTTTAATATATTCATTTCTTTCAATAATAAATAAAGCTGTTACCTTTGAGTAAACCCGATGATGCATTTCAAGATTGTTAGGGGCATTTTAAAGGTAAAATGGACTTTTTTCTCTTTAGTATAAGTCAGTTGACGTGTCAGGTCGACTTTAAATTTTAGGATCCGCGTTAGCTTAGTTACTTTAACAACTTGCTAGTTAGCATATGAAGGTTGCTAGTTGGTACTTTATTTTGATAAAATAAATTGTATGTTAGTTATTACTTTATTTTGGTTTTGTGCTTATGATTTATTTATGGTATTTTGATTAATATGTCACTTTGCATACACTTTATATATTCACTCGCATGCATAAATTCTAAACTCGGGCTCTATTCTTTTTAAAAAGAAGTAAAGTAGTTACGCTCTCGTGAGGTGATAACCTCCGCATTTGCTAGCGAAATACTTTCATTCAAATTGAATCTTTTCTGTTAGTAGCTTTTAATTGGTAAGAATTAAGGAACCTTACTAGTCTATAATAGACGATTATATAGGGAATAGTCTGAGAACCTTTAGACGTATAAATCCTAACCCAGTATATTGTGAGCTATTAGAAGCTTGCCTAGGGTATAGCCCTGTCGATCTTTTTATAGAAATAACCTGAATATGTATTAAAATTTTTAAAAAATTGATAATAAAAGAAAAACATTTTCTTGAAAAAAAAAGTAAATTTTCTCTTAACATATAGTTCATTCATTTTTCTAGTTATCCAAAATTTGCATTTTCAAAAATGTTTTAAAATAAAATCAAGAAATTTTTTTAGCATTATCCAACCAAAAAAAAAAAAAAACAACAAACAAATTTTTCAAAAAAAATGTGTGTTTTTGAATTTTTTCCAAAAAAAAAAAGAAAAAAAAGAAAAGAGAAAAGAATTTTAAATCTGAATGTTGTTTTATTTTTCATATTTTCATTTGATATTTACATACATTTTCATCATGTTTAAAAAAAAAAAGAGAAATAATAGGGTAGTATATACAACCCATCCTATGCATCCTTATAGATAATACGTGCATCCTATCTAATGCACACATCAGTAGATAGTATATGCATCCCATTTCATACACATGTTGATAAATGCATATGCCTCTCATGCACATTTTAATAGGTGGTACATGTAGTCCATCTCATCACATATTTTAAGGTAGTATCAACCTTATTAGGCCAACACAACACATCCATTGTATTTTATGTAGACATATTTTGTGCACTTGATAGGTTTTTGCATTCTATACAAATATGTTATATTAATCATAGGAATATATCTGATTACTTATGTAAATATGTCATTGCATTTCATACATGTGGGTTCATAAATGGTAGGATTTTATAGAACATGCATTACGTTTCATATCCTACCATAACTGTAACATAACATTACATTCCTCACATACAAATCCATGGATGAAATTTTTGTCATTTGGGGCCCATACATGTGAAAATCAATTTACCTTTGGCATATTGGCATTTCATGACATCTTTTTACATTCCATCATATTTATAAACATGCTTTATGTGTCACATGAGTTAGAAATTGTTTTTGTGACATTCATTCAATAAGGGTAATAATATAAAATTTTTGGCTTAAGTCTTAGAATAAAGTGTCTGTCTTGGTGGAAATCAGAATTGTGAAAATGGGAGATCAATTGGAAGTATGATTAGTGCATTGAAGTTGAACTTTGAGGAATGAAACAACGATGAAAATGGTCGAAGCTAATGGTACGGTTGAGTTTGTTGCCTCTCAAGAATCGTTATCACTTTTGATTCCATTAAATTAAGACCAACTAACTCTTGTTGGTTCCAACACTTTTCCTTAGTATACTAAAGCATTGGGTGATTCAAATAATGACCAAAGTTTGGGTGAGCTCAATAAAGGAATGAGTAAATTAGCCTTACAATGATTGAACTCAAAAGTTTGATTTTCAAGATGGAGTTGCCTGGCTTCAAACAACCCTTACCAATTATTTTGAGTCTAAATGCACACTTAAATTCTTCTCATGACTATTTTTGATCTCCTTTCCAAGCACCTAGGATTAGGCTCCCAAATTTTATACAACCTTCGAGAATTTCACACTTGAATTTGTTTCCACCACCTCACATTTTACAACCACTTGTTCAGCAGCTATCTCATCACCACCTTCTGAATCCAATTTTCAACCTAGAGTATCTCAATTCACTTCAAAACCAAATATACTACCATTTTTCCAACAAAGCAAACCAATTATAGAATAGAAAAATTCTTGCAACACCAAAGGAAAAACCCATATTGATCCAATACCCATGTCCTACACAGAGTTATCCCCACTACTCTTAGAAAACTACCTAATTGCCCCTGTCTCTGTTGAACTCCGCAAATCACCTTTTTTCAAATGGTATGACCTTAATGCCCGATGTGAATACCATTTTGACATTATGGGTCATTCTCTGGAATACCATACGGCTTTGAAACATAGGGTATAAGGATTGATAAAAGTCAGATATTTGGATTTTAATGCCAAAATAAAGCCAATTATTTTCAAGAATCCTTCGTCGATCCATGCTGAGATAGCAAGTAATGTTGTAGGCAGTATTCAAACTGGCTAAGATAATGAATGAAAAGAAGAAGCGTTAAAACAAAGGGTCATCTTTACCAGTAGTCAGAGTCCATTTCTTTTGGATTTCTTAGGCGAGGCAAAAAGGAGTAAAAGCTAGTCTAGCTTTTTATGGTCTTTGTCCTAGGATTGTGCTTGATGTATAAACTTGAAACTCTTGGAAATAAAGAAAAATTTTTGAATTTCCTATGAATGGACATCTCTGTTTACGTTTCATTTTTAATAATGGTGTGCCTAAAAGAGTCTATGGAAAGAATGATGATTGCAATTTTATTTTCACCAAACTTTTGAGGCAAAAGAATGTATTTAAATAACCTGACTTAAATACAAGAAGGAATCTGAACTTATCCTCAATAATAATAAATTTTGATTTGCATATCATGCCTCATTTGTTTGAATTTATTATTTTTCATGCCAGCTAAGGACAAAGATTAGTGATTGTATATACACTTTTGTTAAACCTTCCAAGCAAAAAATGATTCGCAATAAAATCCCACATAAACAATTTTCAATATCAAAAAATAAAAAATAAGTCTTTTCAAAAGGAAATATATGATTTTTATGGCGAGAATCTCAAAGTAATTAGTGATTACTATAAAAAAAAAAAAAGAACTCTCATCCAATACCACTACACTTTTCCTTAACCACTCCTATGTTTCAATCCATTTGAATAATTTTAGTTACCAATCATAATTCTTTAAGAGGCATGAATTTTCACTAGTGAACCTTGTCATCATTTGATACATTGAACCGTAATCTTTTCTTGGGTAATGAGTAAAAGAGACCAATTTTAAAAATTTATTTCAAATTTGTAATTTGTAATTCAATGTGTATCAAATCTTGCTAATATAATTGAATTATCCAAATTCTTTCAATGACATAGACATGAAAAATACTTGAACTTTATTTTTCAAGTAACCATTATTTCATGTCTTAAGACATATTGACTAAAAGAAGTAAACTAATTTCCTGCCTAAGATAATTTGTTTCATACCTTAATACCTTTTTCCCTTATTTTACCAATATGCTAGACAATTTGGAACCAAAATGAGCCTTTTTATGAGTTATGCAATCAAATTTTGGACATCTCATATGACTTCATAAGAACCTTGAATAGGAAAACAAAAGGGGCATCAGTCAAACAAAAATAATTGATGGTTGTAACAAAAAAATAAAAAAAAATGAAAACAAAAACAAAGATGAGATTTTTATCTATTTCTTCAAATACATTGCTCTTCTAACCAAGTGATCGTGTTTGAAATGATGAATGGCCATCTTTATCTATCATTTGCTTATAAA